AAAAATGAATTTTTCAAAATTATTTAATATCCACATACTTAGAAGAAGCATTTCATTACAACAGCATTGACATATTCAATACCAATTTCCAGAGCTAAGATGTATCACTTTCAAAATTGGCTGTAATTTTTAGGTTTACTGTTGAAGTAATACAGTTATACAATATTGTACTCAGTATAAACCCTATAAGACATAAAATTAAATGAGGTTTTAACGTTTAAAAAAGATTTCCATTTCATTATTAAAATACACAGTTTAAATTTTATTATTTTTATTTTATGTGTATGAGTGTATTGCCTGCATGTATGTGAGTGCACCTGTGTCATGCAGTGCTACGGAGGTCAGAAGAGAGCTTAAGATTCCCATAAAACTGGAGTTATGGACTGTTTGTAGCTGCCCTGTGGGTGCCGGGAATCAAACCCAGGTCCTCTGCAAGAGCAGTCAGTGCTCTTAACCATTGAGCCATCTCTCCAGCCTCTCATTACTTTAAGAATTTAAGTATTTACTTATTTTTGTGTGTATACACGTGGGGACATGGTATGTGAAGGTCAGAGGACAACTTGTGGGAGTCAGTTCTTTCTATCATGTGGGCCTTGGGGTTTGAACTCAGGTTATCAGGCTTGGCAGCAAGTGCCTTTACTTGCTGAGCCATCTTTCTGGCCCTATGTTCTTTTTATTTTATTTTATTATTTTTTTAAATTAAAAAAAAATATGTGTACGTGTGTATTTCCTGCACATAGGTAAGTGAACACATGTTGTGCAATGCCTGTGGAGGTCAGAAGAGGCTGTCAGATCCCCTGGGACTGGAGTTACAGACAGTTGTTAGCTGCCATGTGGGTGGTGGGATTCGAACCTGGGTCTTCTGCAAGAACAATCAGTGTTCTTAACTGATGAGCCATCTCTCCAGCCCTTTTCTTTTTCTTTTTCTTTTTTTTTAAAATATTTTATTTTCCTGGGTGTGGTGGCATACACCTTTAATCCCAGAAGATTAATGGGAGGCAGAGACAAGTGGATCTCTATGAGTTCAAGGCCAGCCTGGTCTACATAATGAGTTCCAGATCAGCCAGGGATACACGGTGAGACTCTATCTAAAAAAAAAAAAAATTAAAAATTTATTTTATGTGTATGAATGTATTGCCTGCATGCATGCAAGTGCACTATGTGCACACAATGCCCATGGAAAACAGAAGAGGGTGTTGATACCCTGAAATTGAAGTTATGGACCATTATTAATTGCCATCTGGGTGCTGGGAACTTCTGAGCCATCTCTCCAGCCCTGTTGGCCTTATTTTCTAAATAATACAATATAACAACTACTTATTTGCATTAGGTATTATGAGCAATCTAGAAGTGATGGAAAGTATGAGGAGAATGTGAGGCTCTGTGCAAACACTATGCATTTTATGTACAGCATCCTGGGATCTTGGTATCCAAGGGCATCTTGGAACTAACCCCCTATGGTGCTGTAGGTATAAAGAGATGACAATTTATTTTATTTTATTTAGATAGGGTCTACCTAGGTAGCCCACGCTGGCTTTGAACTTATGATCCTCCTATCTTGGCCTCCTAGTGCCAGGGTTACAAGCATGTGCCACCAGGACCAGCTGTTGGATGGAGCTCTTCAGCTGGCTGTCATGGCCCTCTTCTGGTTCCAGGCCTTGCACCTCTGGTAAGACTAATCAGTCCCACTATGAATTAACTCTCAAGGCAGAGCTTCTACCTGATCCTCTCCTATGTCCTCTGCCTTCTTCTGTGAATCCTATGGAGAGGTTCCTTGGTTCCAGGGCTCTAGGGAAGACCCACCCACTTCTGTGAAGTTCTCCCTTCTATAGATGGGAGTGCTTACCTCAGAGGCATCCATGATGCCCATCAGGGGGAACAGGATGATGGGGAAGAGTGCAGTGACGGCCAGGGGCAGGGCCTCGGTGCACCAGAACAGCGCCATGAGGATGATGGAGTAAGCACAGTAGGCTTCCTGCGGGTGGAAGGAGAGTAACAGAGTTGTTGGCAGAAGCAAGTACATCCCAGAATCTTGTCTCCCTTCTTCCCTCTTGATACTAGGCCATTTGTAACTGCGTGAGGAGAGCTTGTGAATACACAGTCATTCATTTCCAAGTTCAAGGTCCCACCTCAAAATGGAAATAAACAAAGCAGAGTTTGGGATGTAGCTCAGTTGGTATAGTGCTTACCTAGGATGCATGGAGCTTTGGATTTGATTCTGAGCACAACATAGCCTGTAACTGCAGGACTTAGCAGAGAGAGGCAGGATGTTTAGATACTCAAAGCCTTTTTTGGCTACATAGCAAATTTGAGACCAGCTTGGGCTATGCATGAGACTCTCTTAAGGTTTGATGTTTTTGTTTTTTTTTTATTTTTGAGACAGAATCTCACCCTGTAGCCCTGGCTAGCCCGCAACTTGCTATGTAGACCAGGCTGACCTTGAACTCACAGAGATCTGCCTGCCTCTGCTTCCTGAGTGCTGGGACTAAAGGCATGAGCCACCAGCCCAGTGAGACCCTGTCTCAGACAAACAAAGAAACAAAACAAGGTGTTCATCACTGGTCCTTGACTTTAGGGCCCAGACATTATAACAGACCCCATGTAGCCCAAGGAAACTGCTGGGGGGCCCAGTTAAGCCTTCTGAGATGGACAGCCAGAGAAAGGCATGTCCTGGTCCAGTACCTTGGCTTTCTCTCTCTTTTTTTAATTAAGAAAATTATTTGTTTTTAGTTTATGTGTATAGGTGTTTTGCCTTCATTATGTAAGTATACCCATGCATGCAATACCTGTGGAAGCCAGAAGAGGGTGTCTGACCCTCTGAAACTGGAAGTACAGATAGTTGTTAGTCACCATGTGGGTGCTGGGAACTGAACTCAGGTCCTCTGCAAGACCAGCCAGAGCTCTTAACCACTGAGCCATCCCTCCAGCCCCCCCCATCTCCATCTCTTAACATCCTGTGAGAAATGCTTATTTACTTAGTGCTTCTAGAGATTGAACCCATGGCCTTGTGCATGCTAGGCAAGCTGTCTACCGCTGAGCTGTGTCCCCAGCTCCAGAATGTGTTTATATAACTGTTTAATGTTTGTCCCCATCCCCAGGAGCTCAGTTCCGTGAGGACAGTCAGCTTTATGGTAGCTGGATCCTTGGTGCCCAGGATCTAGTGTTTTCAGCTTCAGAGACAATTTTGTCTGATGGCATCACTGGGAGTTTTGGGAGGTGGAGGATCTCCTCCCTAGCAATCCCAGTTGGACCGGTCATCACACAACTCAAGGCAGGCTTTACAGACAATGTGTGAGGTTCCCCATCCTTACATTGTGCAGTGAATTTGAGATGACTCTGAGGCACAGACATTGAGTACCAGGAGTCCCCTCTTTTGCTTCTTGAGGTCCACAGGTCTAGAGAAGCCTGACCTCAAATCTAGACTGAACAAGCCAGACAGTAGACCCAAGACAACAGAAGACCCTGGCTTGGCCTCTCCCAGGGTTGGGAAGTGATTAGCCAGAGAGAGGCCTCAGGGCAGGGCACAGCCTATTTGCTGAGGATGGGGCAGCAGGTAGGGGTTAGGTGGGCCACAGGCTGGAACCCTTGGCTCTTACCCATCAATTCTCTGTTTTTCTTCTTACCACTAGGTGTGGAATGGACTCAACTTTAACACCCCACAGCCTTAGTACCTGAAGCTTCGGGAGAATCCCTTGGGAAGGGCGGAGAAGAGGCCTGAGAGAAGAGGAAGCTGTTATTGAGCAACTTTTAGGAGCTCTATGTTGAAAACATAAAAGCCATTAAGGTGGGTGTGGTGGTCTCACTTTATGGATGTACCCAGAGAGCAAGTGGCTTGCTCAAGGTTTCAGCAGAACCAGGGAGTGGCCAAGTTAGAATGGGCATTTAGGTCCAGTGGCTAGATTGCATAAGGCCAAGGACTCCAAAGAACACTTCCTTGTAAGTTGATAGGAAGGCATTCCTAAAGCTGTGCAATATGCTGCCTGTACCACTGTCTCAGTGCAAGTTCTTTTGTATGTATTATACCCACTTAGCCTCTACTCCTTCTTACCCTGGACCTGAACTCATTAGCCCCAGGGGTAGGGCACCTATGACCCTTGACCAGAGACCCACCCTTTCCTCCCACAGCAGGATTCTGCTGATGCTGAATTTTTCTTACCCCCTTCTATACCCGCCTTGATTGGACAGGCAGCTGTTTACCCACCCCTAGGGCTAAGGGCAGGCCATTCCCTCTGGGCCCTGGTGTCCCCTCACCCTGGAACCCTCTGGCCAGACACAGAGGAGATCTGGGGTCAACCGTGCTGATGTGATAAGACAGCTCTGCAAAAATACCCTGAGCCGGCTCTGTGCCAGGCACTGTGACCTGTATGAGTGTTTTCTAGTCACATTTGGTTGCTCCTTGAGGTCCTGACTGCTGTCTCCAGGTCATAGATGAAAAAACTAAGGTGCAGAAAATGAGGCAAATGTCTAAGTCACACACATAGTATGTGGGGAAGCCAGGCCCTCTGGTTCTTGAGCCCCAAACTTTACCTTCCCCCTGAACTCAATTTTTTGCCTTTGCAGGGGATCCTCAGTCTCTTTGTGACCAGAAGGGGTTGAGGGGATGAGCTGGAGTTCTGAGTCCAAATGACCACCTTCCCAAGGCCTGCCACTTCCTGTTGCCTAGAGTTGTCAAGGGGCTTTGCTTATTATTTTTAAAAATAATTTTAAAAAATTTATTTTATGTGTACTAGTGTTTTGCCTACATGTATTTAGGTGCACCATGCAATGCCTGTGGAGGCCAGATAAGGGAGTCGGATCCCCTGGAACTGGAATTATGGATGACTGTTAGTCCCATATGGGTGGCTGGGAACGGAACCTGGGTCCTCTGCAAGAGCAGCCAGTGCTTTTAACCATTGAGCCATCTCTTCAGCCCCCTATTTATTATTTTGTAATTGTTTGGTGTGTGTGTGTGTGTTTGTGCGTGTGAGCATACACACACATACGCAGTCATATGCATGCATATAGAGGCCAGAGGTCAACATTAGGTGTTGTTCCTCAGGAACTGTCCACCCTTTTTTTTTTTTTTTGAGACAGGGTCTGTTAGTCCTAGAACTCAACTTTTAGGCTGTGCTGGCTGGCCAGTGAACCCCAGGAATTCCAGGGATTCTCCTGTCTCTACTTCTCCAGTACTGGGATTATGAGCATATGCTACCATGCCTGACTTTTTATGTGGGTGCTGGGGGTCAAACTTGGGTTCTCATGCTTGTGTGACAAGCACTTTACCAACTGAACCATCTTCCAAGCCCTCACCAAGTATGGTGGTTCATGCCCATAATCCCAGCATTTGGGAGGCTGAGGCAAACTCTGGAGTTTATGCCACCCTCCTGCCTCAGCCTCCTGATATATTCCATCATATTCAGCTTAGTTGAGACCCCATGTTCACACTGTCAGCAGAGTTGTCCCTTGTGAGCTCTGAGCTCGAGTGTTCTTAGCATGTGACTCCCACTTCTCACCCATTTGATAGCTATGCCTAGTCTTTCCACCTAGGTCTCTAGATCAAAATCCAGCATCTGCTTCAAAGTCCCATCCAGCAGCCTTCCCTGACCCTGGTAGCTTCGGCCCTCTGTCCGTTCTACCTCCCAGGTGGGTTGCCAAACCATAGTGAACCTTGCTCACTTTCTTTTCCTGGATTGTGGGTTCTCAGCTGCAGCATGGAATTGTGGGGATCTGGGAACTTAGATAAGAGAGCTATGCCATCTCTGCAGGAGCTTGTAACACAGGTTATGAGTATAGCCAGAAAAATCAATACAGGTGGCCCTGGCTCACATATGATTCCATTATGATTCTTATACTTATCTTCAAAATTGATGAGCATTCAGCAGAAGCCCTACCTGGTTACCACAGCTTACCATGACTCACCATACCTTACACACCTTTCCATAACTTACCACACTTTACCATATCTTGCCATACCCTACCATACTTTGCTGTATGCTTACTACACCTTGTCAGAGCTTGCCTTCCATGTACAGACGTTCTACCTTTCACTTTCAGTACAGTATTCAAAAAATGACAAGAGCTATTTAACACTATTATAAAGTAGACTTTGTGCCTTTAGCTCACAAGGTTAGGAGTTCAAGATTATCCTTGGTTACACAGGGAGTTCCAGGCCAGCCTGGGCTACATGAAACCTTGTCTCTCTCTCTCTCTCTCTCTCAAAAAAAAAAAAATAGGGTTGACAAAATGGCTCAGTGGCTTAAAGTGCCTGCTGCCAAGTCTGAGGACCTGAGTTTGATCCCCAGAACCCATATGGTGGGAAGAGAGAACCATCTCATGTAGGTGTCCTTTGACACATGAACACGTGCACATACAAAAGATGACAGCAATATGATGTATCTCAACTTTTGATGGGATTGTGTTCCAATAAACCCATCATCAGTAGTAAATAATAAGTTGAAACCAAACAGCTTTGCCTCACCTATTTCAAACATGCTGAGAACACTTTATTACCTACACTAGCCAAATGACGCTTTTTGTTGTTGGGTTTACATTTTTAAAATTACCTTTATTTATGTATGTATGTGTGTGCATGTGTTCATGTATGTTCATGTGTGTATGTGTATGTGTTGTGTGTGTCTTTGGGTTTTTTCCCCAATTGTTCTCCACCTTATTTTTTGAGTCAGGGTCTCTCACTGGAGCTCCCCAATTTGGTTAGGCTGACTGGTCACTGGGCGTTACAGATCCTGTTGTCTCTACCTTCCCAGAGTTGGGATTACAGGTGTGTGCCACTCTACCCAGCTTTTAAACACGGGTTCTGGGGCTCAAACTCAGGTCCTCATGCTTGTGTGGCAAGTGCTTTACCCACTGGGTTATCTCCTCAACCCTGTTTTCATTATTATTGGTGACTTTGTTACAGATTTTTTTTTTTTGAGACAGGGTCACACTATGTTGCCCATGTTGGTCTCAAGCTCAGGGGCTCAAATAGCCCTGTCATCT